TGGAGGGGATGACTAGCTTTGGAGGTGCACCTGCAAGTTGCTACAAGTAGTGAGACAACAAGTTATTCCAATTGGTTCTTGTTGTGGGCTATGTTGCATCGACACTGACTCGAGACAAAGGATACAAAACGAAAAGACACTTCGACACGTTAATTCTAAAAAATATTAGATTTCAACACGTTAGAACACGCTTTGATATTAAATAATATTTTTAATTTATGTAGTGTATATTATATTTAAAAAAATAAAGCTAAACTTATAATATCCATCAATTTTGCAAAGATACAAAAGACATTCAAAATATTTATATTAAACTCAATAAAATAGTAATCGTAATCCGATGAATCTAATAGTTTGAACTTAAAATGCAACGTAATACAACATTTGATCCCTTTTTGAACCTTTGCAACACATGTTGGAGTGCCAGGAAGTGTCGAAGTGTAACAGAGTGTCGGGAAGTGTCCAACACGACACGTTAGAGTTTTTGAAGTGTCAGTGTTTCATAAGTTGTGGGTGACTTGATATAAGGTTTGCAGAGAAGCTTCAGAAATAACACTGCTGATGAGATGCATAAGTTGTTTGCTAAAATGCACAAATAACATGACTAAGATGCATGGCAGCCTTTGTTGACTTGATAACCCTTTAAAAGATGCATTTCTTCATGGTGAAGGACTCAATAAGTGGACTTTTATATTGCATGTGAGATCATGATATAACATGATTCTGGTGAAAGCTAACAATTGTTAATTATGTGAATCTTTTCTTATTTGAATTTTAAAGAAAAATATAGATCACAACATGTTTATGTACTCTTTAAAACAACATGTTTATGTACTCTTTAAATGTGAATGATTTTGTTTGAGTGCCAGATTAGGCCTGAACATAAAATACTTCATAGTGAGTTTTGATCCCCTCCATTAGAGGCAAAAGCACCACAATAAGATTTTTGGGTAAAATAATTTGTCCAGTTAAACCATATTTCATATGTTTTGCTAAATTAATACAGTCAAACACGTACCTGATTTGTACGAGATCAATCTCACACCATTATAGTACGCGATTGGCAGCCACGTCAGCCATCTGCATCAGCCGCGCATCGTTTTAGTACGTGACTCACTAAAGCCATGTCCCGCACCTGACTGGGTACAGGACTAACGGTGCACAGCTTTTGTACAAGACTCTTTTCCCATGACCCATCCCACTCCCCTCCCCATCTCGTGTTATTGGTATCATGTAAAAATAAATGACTAAAATTATACAAAATTTGTGTGTCACTAGTCCCGTACCAATCAAGTGCAGGACTTCCAGCAGGACTGATGCAGATGACTAACTTGGCTCCTAGTCCTGTACTATAATGGTGCAGAATTGATCTCGTAAGCTGTATCAATCAAGTACGTGTTTGACTGCATTAGTTGGAAAACATATAAAATGTGTTTTAATTGGACAAATCTTTTACCCAAAAGACTTAGTCCGGTGCTTTTGCCCTATATTGGGTCACATAAACTTAGTCTGCCAATTGAACGACGCAGCTAAATTTTATTGCACTTAGTTTTGTTGAAGTAAATAAGAATCAATATACAAGAGGAAATATAAAATTATTAAGAATTTTAAAAAATAATAAGTAAGGTTTATACTTATTGTGAATAATAAAGAAGTTTCAATTTAATCAATTATTAGCAAAAACAACTCACTTCATGATAAATAAAAATTATCATATCATTATATAACTAATAATCTTTATTTGATGTAAAAGGAATCACAATTTTTTAAATAGTGTCATCGTATGATTTATTGATTATCACTGACTCAAAAGCTTATTATTGAAATATAAGACTATCAAATAAAATAAAAAATTATATAAATACAACAAAAATTGCAAACAGTATTAATATTTTCTTTTATTTTTTCAGTTTCTTATATTTCCACTTTTACTCCATCCTGCACAATCCTGCAATCAATTACTCTGCACAATCCTGCAATCAATTACCCTGGTCGAAGCTGAAAATGATAAAAATGATAAACGACAATCATCAACTACTTTTACATTTATGGGTTGTATGCCTAATTTCTGCACGAAGATGGAAACCACACAATATTCTAAGACGAACCAAGTATTTCAACCTTTAATTTCATTTAACCCATTTTTTAGGACTCATTTAATCCATTTTAAGTTAGAGAGATTTAAATCTAATCTCTAAAAAAACTCAATACTACTACCGTAAGACATTATGTTATAAGATAGAAAGATATAAAAATAAAATTAATAAATTCTACATAAATAATAATGACTGATGATACTATAATTTCTTTTATATATTTCGACTTAACCGTCTCGTATTAATAAGTAATATGAAAAGTTCATGATCCATACACACTGCGGTTGAAGGGCCATCGTCATGTGGGTTTTCAAGTTATCGTTTAGATTTTAATCCAGCATAACTTGGCCGTATAACTACATAACTTTAAGACTCCTACGGAAAGTATGGGATACTGAATGTCACTGTTCACCAATTTTTTTATCTAAATGTCACGCGAACAGTGTTATTTCCTAATCTGCCACGGGGGCAAGTTCACTTCTGACACAAGCGACCTCGGTTTGCTAAGGTGTCACATTTTTAGTGGATAACAAGTATTAAATTTTAAAAAATAATTCAGAAAAAATGAAGTTCGCCTTGGTTAAAATATTGTTGGAACCGAGGTCGCCTGTATCAAAAGCGAACTCTGACACCACCAGAAAGCTGACACATCAGCAAACCGAGGTCGCTTGTGTCAGAAGCGAACTTGTCCCGTGGCAGATTAAAAAATAACATTGTTCGCGTGGCATTTAGGTAAAAAAGTTGGTGAACCTGAAAGTAGAGCTTTTACAATTCCACCGATTTGAATACTAAGAAATTAAAATAAAATACATTTTTTCAGAAATAAAATTGAGTCAGTTTAACATTCAACGGAAACACAAATAGAAGGATTTATATTAGGTTAATTCTGATTTGGTTTGAATTAATAATCTTAAAAAAAAAATGACCTTAGATGTGCATAAAATCATAAGTTCTTTTCTACGGCTTGAGGAAATCTCGTTGTAATTTTTATGTAATATATTTAGGTCGATGGCAAATGTATGAATATTCAACCAATATAAATTTCACTCAAACTTACTTTATTAATCCTTAGCAGCGACCAAATCCAAGCCTAAAGCCTAAAACGCTCTAGTCTTGAATCATAACGCACACATTGCCATCATTAACATCGTTTTCAACTGCAGCTCAAATTTGTTATCCTTGGAGACCTTATAATGCAGGAAACATCCCCGCCCCCAACCACCTAAATTTACAACTTCCTTTAATAGAGCCTCCCTATTTGATATGGCTCAAAATTCTCATTCACTTCACCACACACATTCGGTCTTGAATTTCTTTTAGTAATTTGAATTTGGATCAATAAATAACAACCGATGCTTAGCGCAGCCTATTTAAATTCCACTGTAAAGAAATGAAGCCTCTGCTACTGTTACACACCAGTTGGTACCCAAATCACCACCAAGCTCAATTACAGGTCAATGGCAAATAAATGTGTTTTGGATTCAGGCTCGCCAGGAGTAAGAGATTGCTATTTTGTTAAAGAAAAAATTTCTTTAACGATCTTCTTTATAATAATAAACCATAACTTTCTTCTTTCAAAAAAAAATTAATTAATTAAAAAAAGAATAATAAGAAAAATTAAACATTGCTTTAACCAGTTTAACAAGTACACAATAACTCATTGCTGCCGTTGATGCTTCTTTGTGTAAAATCAACGGCTATTATTCGAGTACCATCCATGGCCCCTAACATGTAAGGTCAGTGGAAGTTACCAATATAGAAATCATGAAAATATAAATTATATGGCATATCATTAACTTCGGCTACAAAATGTTGCAAAATTCATTATATTCCACATCATATCCACCCGCGACATGTTAAAAAATAGGCCTTCATAGATATTAAATAGTCGAATACATAAAAATAAAATAATAAAAATAAAAATAAAAAACTTTGGTTATAGAATTCCCAGGCATGCTTCTTTGAAAGAGTTTACATCATATATCTGCAAAATCTATTCTTTGAAAAAGATAGGTTAGAATCAATCAGCTGCTGTTTTTATGCAATGAACCTACATGTCAGGCTTTTGGGAAGGGGGGGCGGGGTTCTATGAGGCGAGTTCTATCTCTGGATCTTGGCTAATTTGGAAGGCTGGTAATCACTTTGGATTTTTTTTAACTTCATGTTTCCCACTGGATATCTATAGGATAACATAGTAAATAAGAAGCCCAAAACAAACACATTTAGGGTGAGAAAAAACAAAATATTGCTTAATAACATAAACATATAACCAAAAAACACCCACAAAAAAAATTAGAGAGATAAATACCACCCCATACTAAAAAAAAAAATCATTGATTTATGATTCTCCACACACAAACCACCTAATCTAGTCACAAGATGATTTAAAAAAGAAATTGGACGAAATGTAGGGCAAACCCATCGCTCAAACTGCTATTTACTACAGCAGGAAAGCGGCCTGAGTAACCCCTCACTATTAGTGAATTGATTTGCGCCTACGCACTGAAAAATGTGCGCCACACAGAATACCCTCTCCCGTGGAAATACCACGCCACCCCTAACTCAAGAGGGAAGCGCTCGGCCTTAGGCGCATTATCAAAAGCAAACCCATCATTGTTGCAAAAATAAAAAACAACACCAACAATCCAAAGAAAACTGATATTGCTGGAGTGCAAATAAAAAAAAACTTCATCACCCAAATGAATGGATTACTTTAAAAAGGAACAAAACTTAAACTCAGGGAGTATATACATGCTTAATCATAGAATTAATAAGTACAGGAGCTCCACAGACCAAAAAAGACAATCCCAGTAGAAAAAAGAAAACCAAACACACCAAGCACACAGGCATATATCACAAAGAACAAATGAACATCATATTGAAGAAACATACAAATCAACAGTTAGCAACATATTATAGAAGTAAATATCTCCCATAAACATATGCACCGCAGTGAAGAGAAAATGAGAAATGCAAGATTAGGTGGTATCATTAAGTCTCGGATAAGATCATTGGGAACAAGTCTTACAATTTAACAAAATTACTATATCATAATTAAAACAAGACAAGGAACTGATTCCATCTTAAGCCTAACAACTGAAACTCTCCAATCATGAACAAAGAAAAGATGACACACCATTTAGTCTCCTTTCTTCCTAAAGGAGCAACCCTCGGTTAGCCTTGCCCGCCCGCCTGTCGGCTGGCACAAGACAGTCTGGCAGTTGCCGCATACCACGACTGTCTGAGAGTGGCTAAAGACAGTGGTTCTGCATCCAAGGAAAAAGAAAAGCACACAGTCAATTTCAAACCACTCAAGCTATTTAGAACCAGTACAGTTTCAAATCAAAATCAACAAAAACAAAAATAGAATCCAACTTACATATTGAAGCAACCTTGGCACTTAACATCCTGCAACAACAGAGAAAAAAACAAGGAAACAAAACTAATTAGACAAATAATTAAAACTCGAAAAATAACTCTCCCATTGAATTGAGTGAAATTTCAGCTACAAATGAAAGAAGGATAATAAAAAAGAGAATGAAAACACGTATATAATACCATGAAAAAAGAGTTTGGAGACTGAACAAGACGCTTGAGTTTGTGCTTTGTCTTCTCCAACTCAGCTGGTGGATTTAGCAAATCAATATCATTCTGAAGAACCTACTCAATCCACAAACAAAGAAATGACTGTAATACAGGAAACCCTAGAGACTCTCTCACAGCATAAGAGGGCTGAAACTCAAAACACAAAACTCAGAACATCACATCTTCTCAAACAACAAACAAAGGAAACGCATCATCACAGAGAACATCGATTACATCCATTTCCTCAACGAAACGCAGCTAGAAAATTTACCATTACAAAGGAAAATATAAAAATATACATAGATGATCTGTTACTTTCTTCCTAATCAGGTTTCTTCAACTAACAAAACATAGACAGATAGAAGATGAAAAAACACGAGACGAAACATAGGAAAAACAAAATCAGATCTGATACGAGGTACGAGGTACTCACCATGTTGGCAGAAGATTTTGGAGCAGTTCAAAAACCCTCTCAAAAAACCCTAGAAATTTGGCAGCGGCTGAAGCAGATATTAGAGAAGAAACACACACAATGTAATGGCGGCGGGAGAAAGAGAATACATTGAGATTTTATAAAAAAAGGGTTTTCTGGCCCGGCCCAAAAGGCTGTGCTGGATCTGTTGTTATAATTAATTTTTTTAATATATGATTTTCTAAATCTGAGACTGAGATAAAGTTGAGTGCTTTAAAATAAATAAATTCTAAAAATAATAACCATAAAATCAATTTTGAAATTTTAGGTCTACATATAGTATTAATACTTCAGAAGTATGGTTCTTGACTTCTTGTCACCCAAGAAAAGAGATCATAATAATATCATGTGATTTGCTGCATGAGATTCTTTTGCTTGCGCTTTACGCACATGGGCGTGTGATAGAAGCGAAATTTTTTATTATTCGGGGATCTCGATTTTTAAAAATATAATGAAAATATTCAATTTAAGATAATATCCAAAAATTAAAAATCTAAAAAAATTCAGTTTTCCAAGAATCCTGAAAAATCTAAAAAAATATTCAGTTTTAGCTATTATAGTTGCCACATCAATCTGCAATTTTTTTATTTATTATGGGAAAGTAAAGTTATTTTTAGCAATTTCAAAATTATGTCGATTTAAAAAATTAATTAAATATATTTTAGAAATTTTGTTAGTTTTTTTTATAATTTTAACAAAATACCTATCACATGTATCTTTTACCAGAGACAATTTTGTTTGGGGGTCTAAGATTAAGACTTTAAGGGCATGTTTTGGAGCACCTGATAAGAAGATATGATAGAATAACTTATCATATCCTACGTTTATCTCTTGTTTGGTGGGTCAATAGAATATGATTAGCTTATCTTATTGTCTCATTTTATCCTATCTAATACATGATTTCTTATCCTATTGGGGGAGCTGGGTTAGGATTCAACAGGATAGGATACCAATATTGGATACCCAATATATCTCCATGCTACCTCCCTTCCAAACACACTCCTCCCTCTGGACCATCTCCCTCCTCTTGGAATTTTGAATTCCTCTAAACCTTATGGTGATAACTATCACCTGTCTCCATTGCAGCGGAATAACTTTGATCTTGTCTCTTGGGGTTTGTAGTTTTCCTCAGTCAAATCACCCTAAAACCAAATTCCTTAGTGTGTCGTCTCTCTCTTGATGGGGAAGAGAAACTAGGGTTGTTCATTTGACGTATTGGGGACCATAACCCTTTATAGTGTTTTTATCTTTATTGTTGGGCCAATAAGCTCCCATTATACCTAGTTGGCCCAACACCGGTATCCACTCATTCAGCCCATACTCACTTAGGAATCTATTTGGGAATATTTAACTGATCACTTTAATTTACCCAATATATATAAATAGCACAATATAATTATTAATATAATATGTGACCCACAATAATTATTAGAAAATTATAATTTCCTAACAATCTCCCACTTGGGCCACATATTAACTTGAGATAATTATATCGTATATCTTTAGTGCGCAACTATATGCTATTTTTCTTTAGATTCCTCCTTAGATACAATCTGGTCCACCTCCTATATCAATATGAGATCATGGCGGCTTTTGTCACTTTCAAGCGTAACTAAACCTTCCATGGTCATCGCACCAATATATTCAATGACATAGATCAAGTATGGATGAGTGGCATGGAAATTACATGCAATGTGATCTTACCATGCCTATTTCCAACTGGTCCTACTTTAATCTTTATGAGATCAATCCTAAATTTTCTGCATACACAAAGCAGAAACACAAGCACAAAATATAATACATTCAGAGGGAAAATATCATTGAATTCTTTATTCTGCAGAAAACAAACATAAGAATATTTCATTTATTTATTTACATAGAACACCAACATAAAGAACTCCCACTAAACTGTAGTGTCATCGAACAAAACAACACCCATATGAGCAGTATGCTCGTGAAAGACCTTAAGCACTAAGCCTTTAGTAAGCGGGTCCGCAAGCATGGAGTTCGTCCTTATGTGTTCTATGGAAATCTGACCACTCTGAACTCTTTCTTTAACAACCAGAAACTTTATATCAATGTGCTTCGATTTTGAAGAGCTTCTGTTGTTGGAGTACAACACTGCTGACCTGTTGTCACAATAAATCTTCAGTGGCCTTTCAACACCACTCACTATATGCAGCCCTGTGACAAAGTTTCGCAGCCATACCCCATGGTTGGATGCCTCAAAACAAGCTACAAATTTAGCGGCCATAGTAGAGGAAGCTACGAGTGTTTGTTTTACACTCTTCCAAGAAATAGCTCCTCCAGCCAACATGTAGACATAACCTGATGTGGATCTTTTACTATCTTGGCATCCAGCAAAATCAGAGTCAGTATATCCGACGATCTCTAATTGATCTGACCTCTGATATGTAAGCATATAATCTTTAGTTCTCTTTAAATACCGCATAACCCTCTTGGCTGCTTTCCAATGATCCATTCCAGGATTGCTCAAGTATCTTCCTAACACTCCCACTATAAATGTTATATCAGGGCGAGTACAAACCTGGGCATACATAAGGCTTCCTATTGCCGAAGCATAAGGTACCTTTGTCATTTCTATCATCTCAAGCTTGCCTTTAGGGCATTGGGCAAGACTAAACTTGTCTCCCCTAGATATGGGCGTATCTCCTGACGTACAATCCTTCATGCCAAATCTATCCAAAATCTTTTCAATGTAGGCCTTTTGTGATAACCGTAGGATACCTTGAGCGCGATCTCGAAGTATCTGTATTCCTAAGACAAAAGATGCATCACCAAGGTCCTTCATCTCAAAATCTTTAGTGAGAAGATTCTTGGTTTCATGCAATAAGCCTATATCGCTACTGGCAAGTAAGATATCATCAACATATAGTATCAGGAATATGAATTTACTCCCACTGAACTTGTGATACACACAATCTTCCACTAAGTTCACCTCAAAGCCATAAGAGATAATAACCTGATGGAATTTGTGGTACCATTGACGAGAAGCTTGCTTAAGGCCATAGATGGACTTTTTCAATTTGCAAACCATAGACTTTGAATCTCCCAATACAAAGTTTTCTGGTTGCACCATATAAATTGTCTCATCAATGTTGCCATTGAGAAACGTTGTCTTTATGTCCATCTGATGTAGCTCCAAATCCAAATGAGCCACAAGCGCCATTATTGTCCTAAAAGAGTCCTTCGTAGAAACCGGAGAGAAAGTCTCTTTATAGTCTATGCCTTCTTTCTGAGTGAAACCTCTAGCAACTAGACGTGCCTTATATCTTTCGATGTTGCCAATTGAATACCTTTTGGTTTTAAATATCCATTTACAACCAATGGGTTTCGCACCTTTAGGCAACTCAATAAGATCCCAAACGTCGTTATCTTTCATAGATTGCATCTCATCTTTCATGGCATCAATCCATTTATGAGCATTAGAGCTTTCTAAGACTTGTTGGAAGTTGATTGGATCATCTTCCTTCAAGCTTAAAATATTTTCATGCTCTTGAAGAAACACAATATAATCATCCGGAATTGCATTTCTCCTTTTCCTAGTGGATCTCCTTAATGGCACTTCTTGAGTTTGTTGAGTTTGTTCTATAGGTGGCATAAGGGGTGATTCATTATTGTCTTGACCCAAAACAATGTCAGGGACCAAAGCCTGTTCCATAACAATGTCATGAACAGGGACCTGATCATTAATTGCTTGTTCCGTAATTGCATCTTGAATGATGACAATATTAGGAAGAGAAATATTATTTTCTTCCTCATCAAAGACAACATTCCTTATTTTATCTTCCCCCAAACTCAACATCCTCAAGGAATCTGGCATTTCCCGTCCCCAAAAAGGATCTTGTAGTGGGATTATAAAACTTAAAGCCCCGAGAGCGTTCAACATATCCAACAAAATAGCAGCTGATTGTTCTTGAGTCCAACTTTCTTTCATTTGGCCTATAAGGCCTTGCTTTTGCTGGACAACCCCAAATGTGTAAATGCCTTATGCTAGGTTTCTTTCCAGCAAAAGCAAGGCCTTAATGGCCAAATGAAAGGAAATTGGACTCAAGAACAATCAGCTGCTATTTTGTTGGATATGTTGAACGCTCTCGGGGCTTTAAGTTTTATAATCCCACTACAAGATCCTTTTTGGGGACGGGAAATGCCAGATTCCTTGAGGATGTTGAGTTTGGAAGATAAAATAAGGAATGTTGTCTTTGATGAGGAAGAAAATAATATTTCTCTTCCTAATATTGTCATCATTCAAGATGCAATTACGGAACAAGCAATTAATGATCAGGTCCCTGTTCATGACATTGTTATGGAACAGGCTTTGGTCCCTGACATTGTTTTGGGTCAAGACAATAATGAATCACCCCCTATGCCACCTATAGAACAAAATGTTTCTTGATCATCAGACACATGCGATTTGAGCGTTCCCACTTCTCAATTTTATCCGGGTTTGGATTTTCCTGAGTGGAAGTGGGTTTCTCAGTCCTTAGTGCATTGTCGAGATCCATGCAGTCGAGAACAATTTCCACATTCTCTTTCCACAGCTTGAAATTTGCCCCATTAAGCATTGGAAGCATATTCATTTGAGCAACATAATTGGCAGCGGTAGCAGAAACTATACAGAGAACAAAAAAGATAACATACTAATAACATGTCATATCATATATATACATACACGATATAGACAAATAATCCGAAGTAAAATGAGTTTATTATAAGATACCTAGCACAACATTAATATTTAGTCTGTGGACAAAAATATCAACTTGTAAGTGGTACTCTTAATGTAGTAATCAAACATTGACAATAAGTCCTGTCAAATCATAGCCTTCCTGTGGGCCGATTATGAATTACATGGAGAATTCTTGATAATTGTCACATATTTATTACCACAGGTATGTTTGTTACTTGGCCAAATAATAACCTTCCTGTGGGCCGATCACTATTCGCATAAGCAATAAACACACACATGATCACACAACATATGTTATTTGGCCAAACAATAACCTTCCTGTGGGCCGATTAATATTTGCATAAATAAAATATATTTATATGACCAACCTATTTGAAATCAAATTAACCTTTTATAAATTTGGCCAC